TCCAACACAGAAGGTTGGGATTAAGACACTTGATATTAATTTCCCTTGTGTACAATACATTTTATTAGTTGTTTCTCTCTTCATGCCAGTGTTTTCTCTTGCACGTGTAATGCAGTTAATTGCTGAATGCATAAACATTACGTTTAACGCTTGAATTACTGAACAATTCATTCCGCTCCTTTTTTTTAATTCTAATGCGTCTCCGCTTTGATTTTTCTTCATTGTTAATTAAAAACAGTAATTATTCGAGTTGAATGGCAAAATAAATACGGCAGTCCGATTCTGTCAACAAATCATCGAAGCGTATTTTCCCTGCTATGTTTGAATATAACTTACTTTTTTTTATATCGATATTCGATGCTCGATGGTTAATCGTTCACGAGAAGTTTCAATTTAGTTCTCTCAACTTAAGCATGAGGAGACCGTTTCGAATTATGTATGAGCATTAATTGTCTTAAAAGATTTCGATTATTTATTGCCATGCATTGGTCGGTTTAGATTGATCGAGAACGCTTTGAAATTTGAACTATTCAATTTATATTTTGTATGTAATAATTAATTTTGAATAGCTAAACCTATAAATTGGATAAATATGAATATTGCTTTATATGCGGTTGAGTTGAAACTAGATAATATATCAAAGAAAGAGTCATAAACTGTTGACACTAAGCGGTTATTCCACCAGTCTATATTTAAATTAACTGTTGTAGCGAAGAATACATTTTCGTTAGATTTTAATAATAATTTTCAAAAGGATCCTTCTGGCAGTCGGAAGATATATGACCAGCAAATACACGTTTTATACATACTAAAATAAAGATTGCGTTTTTTTTTTCAAATCGTCGCACCGGAATTCGAGTAATTAAGCTCTAAAAAGTAAATTTAACTTAACCCTGAGTAATTGCTTTCTAAATAAGTCTACGGAAATCCGATATGAGCACCAACCTTGAATCTAAAATTTCCGCCACCGAATACCGCGACCGTGGCAACGCAATGCTTTGTATTTCCTATTATTTCGTATAAATTGTAATCCTTATTTACCTAAAGACAGTGTTCGATTTCTAATTTGTAATATATTCTTAACCCCGGAACCAGCGGAACAATTTTTGAATTATTATTTGCGTGCAAACAGCATTCATTACGGGAAAATATAGGTACAGCAGCAAGTGTACATGTTAGGTAGTATAAAAATTAGAATTTTACAGAAAATAAAATGTTCAGGTAAGTTAACTTTTTGATTATCAATTTACGTAACATTGTGTGAGAGAAAATGTACCCAATCATAAATTAGAAAGATAATGAGCTTTTAAATTTTAAAGATAGCCGCCTGCTCAGTTTCAAAGAAAATTTTTATTAAAGCTGTTATTACATAATGTGTTTTATTATTCAAAGTTCTCTCCGACAAGGCGATTGTATTCTATTACGTTGAAACCAGGAAGAGGATTCGAAATTAATAAATCATTCGGATTATTACAACAAAATTAATTAAAATCACGTAAAGAGATAGAAACACGAGCTGAGAGACGCAATGAACAATAAGTCAGATCCTCTAATGCTAAATTGACCGAAATATTTCATTAAATTTACTATCGATATCGGAATTTAGTGAATGAGAATTGAAATTTAATATTTGATGAAAAGTTAGCCAAAGTGTTGATTTTAATTTTTATCATACTCGAATACACCTCCGGCTAGCTCTGGAGCGGCATTGTGGTTTACATTTTCAACAAGCGTCAACTGGATGATGTCACAGATTTAATAGAAGCATAAACGTATATGTGGTTAAGCAAACCAAACTGAGTTTATTGCATTACTGTTCCTGACAGCTGCTTCACTATTAAACCTATTGTCATAAAATAATAATCAAATTAACACAGAATTCATTCATTATATGCGTTAATTGTTATATATAATCATTTTGTATCGAAACAAAGAATCCTCTTCTCCGTTATTCCACGTTTCTCCGACTATCTCAAAATGTAGGTAACAATATTCGTTTGAATATTTTATTTAACATGATTCGTTTGGAGGTCCTTTTGCTCCATGAGGGATCATAGAAAGGTCGTTGCTCCAAGCTTGGAAATTTTGCTTTCCAACTCTAATCTTTTTAACAAATTCTCTTTGTACCTACTTCTCATTCATGGATATAGTTTCTTTTTTTACTTATAGTCTAATTGAACCTGTTCCATTTCAAATGATGGAATCATTTACTTTACGTTCGACGACGAAATTTTTAAAACTGAGTGATTTTTATTATTTGTACATCCCTTATAAAGGTAATCGCGATTTTCACGTATGCTATACCGTCGTTAAATTGAAAAATGGGCGAAATCAAAGTCTCTGTAAACATTCGAATGAGCAATCGAGCAATCTATCTAAAATTTAAAGTTTGAATAGTCGTCTACTCTATATGATAAATGAAATGATATTTCTTTCTCAAAAAAGAACAAACGACAGTTTATTTGTTCCAATTTTTTTTATAAATCAAAGTGTTATTTTAAATTGTCGTAGAAAATGTGAAGAAAATCATCCACTTATAATTACCACATTATTGTAAATATTCTAGCTTTATATCTTACTAATTACATTAGAAATTTCGAATAGAATAAAAATTGTGTACAAACTGGAATGACCACTAACAATTAGGGAAATTTCTAGTAACATATTTTCGGAATTAAATTAAGTTTCGAGCGACACTGGCGCATTTCTGCATAAAATAGGACAAACATATGTAGGAAATAAATCCGTACGATGTGCATTGTACGACCACCCGTCAGTGAAAAAGACAAAATATTTTACTAATTCATGTTAACAAGGTAGGTAACAGTAATGGTACAGGACTGGGACTATTGTTGATTTGATTTTTTTTGAGCTCGATATTTTAATTAACTTGACACCAAATGGTACTAATTAAAAATGATGTGTTCGGATTTTTTCAACTTTTTGTATTTTTCAAATGAAAACACGTCCAGTGTTTTGCCAATGTTTCACTTACAATACTTACGATAACATCAGTAATAAGGTAGGTGTATTATTAATGTCGAAAGGTTACCAACCTAATTTTACTTGTATGTAATATACAAACAGCAATATTAGGGTTATTAAATATTAACGATCAAACCGAGTAATATAAGTTAGCGTTGGGAAATTATTGTATATTTAGTACTATCTACTTTATTTCGTACTTATGTCTGTATGTAATGTAATAATTTTCCTCAATTTCATCGATAACGATAGCAGGTCATTAGATATTGACAGCGATTGTATTCGTAATTATTAGGGATATATGTAATTAATTGAATTCAATTTGCATATATTTCATAGGTAATATTCATTACATTACGCATTACACTCCCTAATACATTAAGTCTATGCAATTAACTGTAACTATTTCATTGGTCAATTAAGCTAAATGTGGAAGTTTTATATTCGACAATGATAAAATTTTATATAGAGTAATTTCGTAAATGAAATTAATAATATCCTTACGTCAATTTTTCTCATCCATGTTACAACTTTTATTATGTTGTTACATTTACTCTGTGCATTCTTATCTATACTGCATTCTCCTATACAATAATACTTTTTCAATTTTCCTTTTGCTCCACTTCAATTATTTTTACCTTGTAAAATTTATTGTGCATTGAGCGTATTGTGTATTTTTTGCATTCCCAATGCAACAAAATAAATTACCTAATTATTATCTGGTAAACATTTTCGAACACAAATGTTAACGGCATAACATTTTTTTTATTAAGCGGTAAAATATTTCACTAAGCGTATGAGCGAGATCGATTTAAAATTTAAATTAAAAATCACATGCTAAAACATCAATTGAATGCCGAAAATGGGGCCCTAAAATACCTTTTATAGTTAGTAAACTTTGTACTATTGATTAGAATAGCGGGCAAATTTTATTGCTAAATTAAAAACCGCATCGACGGTTATTACGTTCACCGGTCCAATAATAATACAGAGAAATATGCAAAATAAAATTTGAATGAGTATTTGAACAATAAATGGCTTTGAAATTAATTAACTTTTTAAATTCTGCCACTTGAAATTCTGGCGGGTTCTCCAAAAATATTGGTGGGCGCTCGGTTAAATTCAATGTGGTTACAATACCATGAATTTATAAAATTCCTTTACTCGTACATAAAACATTAAACGAGTGGATGTAATAAAATTATTTTTCTTTCAGTGCAGCCAACATTAATTACAAGAGTACCTAAATATTACGATTTCTGTTCGGTTTTTCCTATGAGACAATTAGCCATAAAAATGGCTTTATATTTTTCGAGGAAATTAAATCCCCAGTTATCTAGCCGCCTTTGTGAGTTTCAAATGCGAAATAAACTCGGAACAATAATGTCATCTTCAATCAGCAAATTCACTGCTTTTAACTTCTAAAAGTCGGCGATAAATTTTTGAATTATCGATTTTGAAGTGAGTCGTTAAATATTTTATTTAAAAATTTTTATTTGCGCGGAAAGAACTCACAAACTTCTGCAGTTGATTAGTAAATGCATGCCAGGTTGTCCCTTTACAAGTCTTAACTTCCTGACGTAAAATCACAATTAGTAAAGTTTCTATCAGCATCACCATCGACATCATCAGTAATATTCAAACTGGCAGAATAATAAAATTTTTACTGAAAAATTAACTTGAAATGTTGGAAATTTAATAGTAGGTAAGTAAAATCGCGTGTAAATGATTTTTTGAATAGGTTTTTGAAATGGGATGAGGAAGTTTGTAATTTTCAAAAAAGTTTCTTACATGCGAAATGCGTATTTTTCAAAACGTTATTTAAATAAGTTCGGAAAATAAACTTGTTGCGTTTCTGTAATAAACTTGTTAAAGTTGGTACAAGTTTGGTTTGTTGTATTATGGCGATTTAAATATTGAAAACGAAAAAAATTTTAATCAACTACCTGTTCTAAGATTACGCGCTGTTACAGGTCCTAAAATTACAGGTACAAAAAAAATTAATAATTACTTACCTTGACTTATAATGGTAGCGATATAAATAATTCCGATGGTCACACAACGGTTGTGTTGCTTCCGTTTGATCATTGTCACCACAAAACTCAAGCACAACACCCAAAATATCCCCCAAAACCGGTATACGTGCTACCGTAAACACGTGCTTTCCCGTTGGAGTTGACGAGCTTTCGCTCGAGCTTTGGCGTTAGCGAACCCTGCTACACAAAGGTCAATCTGCAACTGTAGGACGTACGTTAAACACTAATATGAAACTGAACGCGAGACAGTTTTGGAGCTTGCGTTGCGCTGCTGTTACAGCTCGTGCCGCTTATTTCATGCCACATGTTTTTTCATGCCGAACCACAAACTTTCAACGTCAATCATCGTTAATCATTATTCTTTAACTTATTTGTTTATGACACCCTACTTGTCCGTGTGTTTTTTAAAGTTTGAAAGGGTATTCTTTGGAAGCTTTCGTTTAATTAATCGTTCGACTTGGAGCTTTTATATCTTTTGTTTTTAATAATTTATTTATATTATGCTAATTAATTGTACAAATGCCTTGTCCAGCTCATTGTACATTTTTCCACAAACATTTAAAATTTTTGTAAATACTATGTAAAAGCTGTTTGATTAAAAACGTACTTAAAATTCGTCTATACAGGGTGGTCTACGATTAATTTACCCTGCTTAGAAAAAGTTTTTTACTGTAAGGTTATATCTGAGTAAAGATGAGCTGTAAAAAAATATGAAAAAGAAACGCGTGTAACTTTCATCGTGTATTTAGACCAGTTACTTCGAAAACGGCTTTTTAGCGTATATACCTAAGCCATAAAAACCGAGAAAATGAAGAAAAGTTGCGAGGAAATATTTGGCCTATTATACGTTTACCGCCTAACTTGATGGTGAATAAGATTTATTCTGTACGATTTCGGACGCAGGTGTCATATTCGACTCGGTGTAATCGCGAATTTCGGTCACGATTCTCACATTTAACAATGTATGTAGTAGTTCTGTAGAGACTGTGTACATACATATATGCTGCTATAGTATCAGAAGTGCGGTACATTTTTCCCGCATCCATAAGTTTGCATGTATAGGTAGAGAAAGTTTTTATTCCAATAAATTGTAGATTATATAAAGGCAATAGATATTTTTGTAGACGAATAATAATCCCTTCTCCTAAATGTAATGTCTTTTGATAAAATGTAATTAATTCTGGTGAAATTCAATTATTTTCTTTTGTACTATATTGAATAGAAATACGGCACCGAAATAGTGGTCCCATATGATTTTCCACTTTGCTTTCTCTCTAACATACCTTTTATGCCACCGCAGTGAAGTTGAATTTTTATACTTTAGACCTAAATTATTTAAAATTCAGGAAGATCGTATGACCTCGTTTACGGGAATACGGGACTTGTCGTAAAATTTATACCGTCATGAAAAATTAACTTTATTGTTCTTCAGCATTTGCCCTATTTTGACGGAAATTTCACTGACCTTTTTTCGTTTGGCTTTATGTACTCTTCAAGTACCCGTATCGAATATTGTATGTACGAAACAATACTTTTGAACTTTTAAAATCTTTATCGTGGCTTTATTTCTCTTGTAATTGTGCATGCACTTACATCTTATTACATTTTTTACTTACATATTAGCAGGTACATAAATACATATAAAGCTTGATATGTACAAATGATGTACGAGTTGGTTTGGTGGTTTGAAATAAAAATTCAAACTTACCATTATATTTTTGTTATTTGTTACGTGCAACGTTGGAGAAATAATGGAATGACAAAATATATCTCATCTTTACCGAAGAAAATGGAGGTATACACATGAGTTTGATCATCATAATAAATGTACAACACGTGTGCGCATTTTCTAACATGGGATGTAAAACAGAAATGATTTGGAAAATTCGTAAAAATGATAAAGTATGTATAGGTCCTGGTATGACAACTATTGATAAATTACTTTTTGCAGCAGGTATTTTTCCACTTCCATCATTTTAACTTACTCAAAAGGCGCCAACATCTGTATAGACTATGCAAATATAAAAACACACAACCATTATCCCATTCACTTATTTTTTAAATCTATTATAATCGCAGGAAGTTTATATAAAAAATCGAAATAGTTACTTACCTTCATCGGTTTGAAAGACAAGTTGGGATGGAATTTATCATACATTTCTTGTCGTTCCAAACCATGACTTGGACGTGAACGGGTCACTCAAATTTGTAAATCTAGATTTAGCTTAATCTTCTAACTGACTACATAATCCGCTCGCAAATGATCCCAACGTTATTGTTTCGCATAAAAACCATGAAAAGTAATTACGTTTTACTTTATGCAAATTAAAATTTGTCATTCAAGCGGATTATTAGGATCTCAACTTTTAGATATGATAATACCACTGAACCACCCAATCCCTTATGTAGTTAGTTTTATTCCATGTTAGTTATATCAAGTAATTATAAATTGTAATTACGGGAATGTTTACGTTGCATTGAAAGAAGTGAGAAATTCCCACTCGGGTTTTTCGAATTTTCTTAAAAGTCTCAAATTCGGAATTCAGGGCTTAATTTTGAAAAAGCACCTCACAATGTATTAAAGAGCGCGCACCAGGAAGCTCGACGAGTTACATATGGAGCTGGCTGAATATAAGGCTTATTCAACAAGAGGCGTCAAAAGCGCAATTACAAAGATTAGAATGCACCACGCCCTTATGGATCCGTCGAAGTTCAAAGGCAAACTTCATTTAAATCAGTGTCAGTTCCAACAAAAAATAACCGGCTCATTTTTCTTACCCGCTGATTTGCCTACTATTACACTAATGAAAAAAAAAATCTTTTATGAGAATGGCTTTTATAATAAAAAGTAGTGTTTCTTTTAGATATTTACAAACTACTAATGAATTAAAACGTGGTTAAAACAATTTAATCAGGACATTCTTCTTCAAATCGAAATTGGTTGTAACTACGGCCCGAAATGTAATATTAGCGTATAATTCCGGAAGGCTGTAACAATTGAACATCCAATACCATGTGGGAATTTAAAATGCGCTTAATTAAAAATTCACATTGAAACGATTTTAGGCATAAGGGTCCCTGGAGTGCTTTGGCTAAGTTGACAAGTTGGTCTCCTGTGAAATAATATATATGTATACATCAATATCTGCACTGGTTACAAAAGCTTCGAACAGTGTTGCATATGTGCCACTGTTCCAGTAAATAATAGAGATTGCGCTTCTATCAAACCGTCATATAATGCTATAACTGTGCTTTATCGAATCGTTCCTATTTATTCTCGAAGCACAAAAATACATAATTATTTTAAATATGAAATAAGTTTGCGTAGATTCCTCGATATTAATAAAACGGGGACGCCTGTAATTTCAAAGTTTCGACTGTTTGAAATTGAAGCTATATCTTTTCGAGTCTTCCGAAACATTATAGTGTATTCCAGTTTAATAGTTACCTGTCGCGCGTTCATTCTCATGCATAAAACAGTAGATCCCTCTGCAGGAACGTCATCTTGATGAATAATGCCTGACAATAAAGTACGAAAATTTGTACGAGAAAATAAAATTTACAAACGCTTTTATAACGGACGAGCTAATTGTTATCCCTGGAAAATGCGAAATATCTGCTCGTTCTATATTATAGATGAACTATTCGCGGATGAGAAAATCCTTACAAGCAAACTCCAGCTGTACCTAAAAGTTAGACCTACTATGTAAATCATATCTTGCGATGTAAACAATATCACAGTAGATTAATGAAGCCCTTCCTGTTTAGTAAAGTGTTACATCAGCAAAACCAAAATTGTTATGTATTTAATACCCAACGTAGAAATCAATATTTTAATATATGTTGTATATAGGTATTTAATACTAATCTTACGTGAATTTCGATTAAATTAATTTACATTCAATTAAGGGATCATTGTGTTTGTTATATTAATAGGATTATTCAAATATGCTATATTCAAAACATCAAGCCTTATTACTTCTTTATTTAATTTCATTTCACATTTTTACACTCCGTTTCCACGATTTTCTCCAAGGTTTTACTAAGACATGCTGAATTTGTATTTTCGCAAGATTTCTGTCACTCAGTAACCTATCAACGTTGTTTAAAGTAAACAGCGTCAGGAAAAAAGCGGTTTGGTTTTTTTTATTTGGCAGATATTTGACAACTGAAATGTTTTATGGAATTTATCACTTATAAAAGGAGTTTCTGACTGAACGATATCCGCCGTTGTTGTCTTAAAACCAACCGCGAACGTTTCATTATAACGTTTTTTTATTAAAACTTCCGTATGTTTAAATCAAAATCATGTTTATTATCAAATTATTGGGACATTTTATAAAACTCCATGAACGCGCTGTATAGGTATAATATGTTTCTGACTGACAAAGGTTGATAGGTAGATGGGTAGTTATCTTATTTTTCCTAGATAGGTATATTTTATTCGTCTTATGTGTATCTATTTGCTCAAATGTTGTCCGAGAATCGTCGTCGTTCTAATGCAATATATCTCAAATTGCTGTTCTCCGTTTTTCCTTCTGGTGACGTTTTATTTCTTTACGGTACTTGGTTACTCTTTTATTAAGCCCTGTATCTGTCTGGTCTCGAGGATGAATGGCCCTACGTTAATAACATAAACAAGAACCGTGCAACGCAGTGACGTTCTGGAAAAGGACGTATTGTATTTATCCCGCGTCTAAATTAAACCTAGCATCGTCCGAAAAAAAGCGCTTCCTTCCGGAATAAACGGCGAATTATATTCAGGTTTGTCTGGAATGTCTATAAATGTAATGCAATAACTATTTGATTCGATCTTTCGGCGCTGCTCCCCAAAACACATCAATACTTGATATGCAATTTGCGGTGCCTGAAAAATTCACGAATTACTAGTACTCTGACTGCAATTATAAGTTGGGCTGCTCAAAATTGCCAACCGATCGCCGGTAAAATTGGGCCCGATCATTAATTTTTATGGACTCCGCTACGTTGTGAGGCCAATTAATTATTTCGCCTAATCAACAACTTACTTGCAAAGAGCAAACGAAAAAGTGGTGTGCATAAATATATAAAACTGAATTTGAAGTTGTGATGCTTTCACCTCGTTTATTCGCTTTTATATTTTTATTGATAATTGAATTTGAGGATTATGCGACACAAATGAAATGGAACCGTCTCAATATACCAAATCAGTTAAATCCGCA